AGTCTAAATGACGGCGAATTCGGGCTTGGGAAAGCTCTGCAATCAATGCTACAGTAAATTTTGGTGTCTCAAGTTTAACTGGTAACTCTAATTTAGCTTATAATATAACATTTAATTACCAGATTGAATATATTAATCATATTAACTAATAACAGCTATTTTTAACCACAACTCATGGGGTTGTTGAAGAGCCTGACTATAGTACGAAATATTTTCTTACTACTGCACTTGGATGGCAGATGTTTATTGAGTCCCCTGTGAACGAATCGTATAAATGCACCACAAAGTTTAAACTTTGAATAAGAACTAGTAACATGAATATACCGTAGGTAGGTTAAATCTTGATTAAACCTAAGTTGATGTTTGTAGCTTGGGTGGAAAGGTTTAGGAACTAAACGATAGATTACTTTGAGTAGTATGCTATTAAAATGTTAAATTCTGGAAGAGAGTTTATGTTTCTTTTATGTCTACCGCGGGAAGCAAACAAAAAACGATGACGACCAAGAGCCAGTTTCTGTCGTATATGCGCAGATGTACACACTAAGCCCTTATGTGATGGCGAGAGTATCCGTAATTATGTTAAATGATGGTGTCTGTCTTGAGCTCAAGGAGAAACCAAACGGATCAGGCATTTCCAATAGGTTGAGTTGTCATCAGGTTGTTATATCTTCTAAAGTGTTTGCCGTACAAGTAGAAAACAAAGGTTTACTCCGCCTTAGTCCACGAGAATAAAACTATATTGAATCAATTTCATACTAGTTCATAAGTAGCTTCGATCCAGATGAGAGTAACGAAAAATAAAAAAGCAGAGCTTTTGTCAATCTTTATTCTACCTTTCAATACTATAACAGAGCATAATGATCACCATTTTCTCAAAGGATGAGTTTATCATACTTGCAAGTTGACAAATGCTCAAGGTTTATGAGGTCTTAAACGAAATAATATACTCTTGAAAGGATGCTGTGAAGAACTATCGTTGAAATAAATCTGTTTTACGACCTAATGTTTGCCGCAGCAAGGGATAGAGCCGGGTGTAGCCGCTATCGAAACCTATTGCCGCATGACCACAACCTCGTTCGGCAAATCCCGGAGGCAGATACTTTGCCATGTAAGACGAGAAAATCTCCTTTGGGTAAATCATCGTATGGAAGGCCCAAGCTTCCGTTCAAGATTTCAGAATGCCCTGGAAGTGCTAGAATACAGTTAATCAACGACAATCTTTAAAACTGAGCCCAGTCCTAGGCCAATTAAGTAAGCTTGCAATAGGGGATTGGCCCCTCCGTGTCTGAAAATGCTTGGGAGTAAATATGAACGAGAACAGGGTGGGCCCGAAATTAACCAAGATATCTCAGAGCTCTAAGAAAAGACTAATTACGAATACAAGAACTGCAGTAAAATTCGGAAAGGAATTACCTTCAGGACGGTTCCGACCGGGGACCGCGTTTCCCGACAAAACGCTGTGAACACGGTTGCGCATCCTAGGAAATAGTTCCAATCTATCCCACAGTTCAAGCGTCAACTTGCAGTCGAGAAGTCGTGAATGATAAGTATCATGACTCGGATCCATTCTAGTCAGTAACACATCCCTTACGCTTTATAAAAGATTCCAGGACGAATCTCGCGAGATTCGTTGTACTCAAGATACACAAAGCTCTCGAAAACCTATGGAATCTACGTTCCCTTTAGCGATAAGTGTGATTTTACTCAAATAATTGTCTGAAACTAATCCTAATCTGAGCATATTAGTAATAAAGCCAAGCTCATGGACTACCAATTTGCTAGTTATTGAATCCGATGCATCTGCATCTTGTGAGCTCTAGCCTACGGTTGTTAGAATTTTAACTTAAAGATTCACTATAACGTTAACCGGTGCAAGTTTGAACTGATTGAGTGTTTCCAACAGAACAGCAACTTTCAGGCATACGCGAAACTCGAGGAGCATGCTTAGCTAATCATTAGTGATACAATTAGGAGTGCTGGGAGTTGAAAATAATCACTAAGAGATAAGTATAAAGGCGATGGACGAAGGAAATTATATATAACCATGATTGAAAAATCTAGAGAACAAGTCGGAAGCTGCGAAATCACTGTTGTGAAAAGAGACGGTTCAGACGAAATAATAGCAAATGTTGCCTTTAATCGTAGAGAAACAAAGAGAGTAATAAAATTTAGATATACATTGGAGGACAATAAAGATAGAGATAAAATAGATTAAGAATATTTCTGCATTACGTGGCATATTCCAATTGAGCATATTCTTAAAAATATGTGAAGAAACTATCACATTTAAAGATAAAAAAGACAAGCATTAATGAAATACGTTAGGAGGCTGCTAGAGTCTTGAGAAAGCAATACGATAAATATATAGCTTAGAATAGGACTCAAGGGAGGGAACAGGAAAATCTGAGTAGAGGCTCTATTTAAAGCAAGAGAACATCATGCAGCGGTAAAATATGAGGGCAATACAGAGTTCAAGAGATATGTACAAGCAAGTTGGATCTGGTGTATAAAGCAGATTGAGTATCATGCCAGCCTGATTACGGGCTATTTACAGAATAGAAAGCGGCATTGTCCTCTGAGAAACGCAATAATAATCAGAACCCCTGCGTTTTATAATAAGTGACAAAGTGTTTTTTTTGTCTATGCCGGCCGGAGCCGCATGTATAAGGTTTGATTCATGCTTCGTCGAAGCCAATTCAGCAGTCCCTTTAAAGTGGGATCCCTTAGAATGTATAGGCATGTGTGGAGAGAGTGGAGAGTGAGATTTATCAAATGAAGTCCACCAGTCACAAGAGGATGTGATATTCGAAGTCTGTCCAATTAAATTTGAGCCTCGTATTCGTGGAGCTAAGACTGGGGCAGAATTTGAAGATTCTCTGCCAGAATCATGAGGGAAAACTCTAGTCGGAGTGGCTGGTTGTAGAAGGGGTGGGGAAGGAGTTTCTGCATCAGAGCCAATGTCGGATCCAATACTTAATGATTCACGAAGGTTGAAGTCGAAAGAAGGCTTGTCGTTAAGTAGCGAGTGGTCAGGTAAGACATGCAGACCAGAAGTTGGCCGGTGCCCACGCCGTATGCGTCTTTTTCGTCGAAAACCAGGTGGTTTGATATTTAGAGACGCGCATTTCAGTGCGGGACAATTAGTAATCAGCATGTCGCCACAAGACTGTGCTAGGACAGTTGAGAGTCTAGGAGGCGAGAGACCGGCTTCGCAGCCATCAAAATGAGAGGCAGCGATTGTGCTTGGCGACGAGGTAGCTTCTGAAGAAAGGTGATCAGCACAAGATGGCCCAAAGCGGTTGCTAGATGAAGTCAAGATGAAATCTGAGACTGAGAGGGAGGAATGTTCGGACTGAATACTGAAGTGGTGATTAGATGAAGCTTTGGAAGAGTCCCTCTGACCATGGTTAGCAAAAGCGGAGTATGATGGAGATAGAAAAGGCCGTGATGGTAAAAATGGAAAGTCAGACTCATCTGGTCCCGAGGACATTAGGATAGGGCAAGAAGCACTGCGTGATATAACGTTTAAATTTTTGCAAGGTGAGTGTGTGAGTCCGGCTAATCGTTTAAGCCTAGAATTTTGAAGTTGCCTAGATGGATGACCGACCATAGTCCGTTGTTGTGGCCTATGTTCTTCACTAGAACGGCTCGCTTCCCAGTCTACCAGGGGAAGAATGAGTGGAGGTGGTTGGCTAGAAAAGACTGAGTTTATCCGAATCTGACATTCGTGGTGAAAGCGTGTGGTATAAGAGCCAGGCGCGTTAGCGCCAGAGACTTTGTCGTCCCTGTAGTTGTATTTGTGGTCAAGAAGATCAGCGCTGTTGCTATTGTTACTCTGAGGAAGTAGTCGCCTTGGTTCGTTACGCGACCAGTCGAGTAAGGCATCGTCTTCTTCATAAGCCCTTTCAATGGACTGGGGGCTGGGCCGAGCGATAAGTTGTGGTGGAGGAAGGAATATATTTTCATCTTCATTATTATAGACGTCTTTTACCTCAACACCAACAGAAGCAGTGAATTCTAAGCTCTCATGTGAAGTCTGGTTGTCGCCGGCACTGCTCCTATCCCATGTATGTAGATTTGGTCCACAAAGGGTTGGCCTTTGGTATGGCCGGCTTACTTTAGCTGCATCCGGACAGGCCTGACAGAAGGATAAACCACATCTCCCAGCATCAACGCGGGTGGCAGCAGAGGAGTAAGTAGAGAATGACCTGGGATAATTACACCATAAAACTGGTTGTTGTGAGCTCGGATGGGAGAGATCGAGGAACTCAGTAGATTCACTCTTCGGGATGGAATCATCATCTTCCACTATCTCCGATCGCACCAGGAGCGGCTGTTTTCGAGCTCGTCTGCTGCTTCGTGGTGGCGTTGGCCTAGAATAGCCAACAGAAGGTCTGGTAAGCACGTAGTCGGAAGCTCCAAGTGGGCCAAAGCGTTTAACTACCAGTTTAATTGGGGCTGGCGGATGCACAGGCGCAGAGGCAAGCAGATCAGGCATTGGCAAGTTGGAGCGATTAAAGCCCACAGAGCTTTGACTTGCTTTAGGCAGGTTATCATGCTTTTTTAACGGACTTGGGGCAGACTGGATAGTCGTTTCTGTAATATTAAGGCCAAGACGCTGACTACGTTTACGTCGACCAGAAACGGGCGCCAACCGATGAGCCTCAGCGATCAGCTGGGCATCATATTGCGTCAATCTGCAACGCCGTCGCCTTTTACTTGAAGCCATATCAACAGAAATGCCGGCTGAAGGATCTGATGGGATGCTAAAGTCATTTAGTGAATCCTCATGAGCCCAGGCTCGAGTCTCGTTCCCAGCCAACGTCCCTGAGTATAAGGTTTGGCTGTCCCATTTAGGCGAAAGCTCAACTGCCATCTCAGTAGACGAGCTACAGCATGGAGAAGTTGCGGATGGGATGCAAGATGTAGGTGATACAGAGATAATATGCATGCTTCTAGCCGAGACAGTAACAGTAGGAGTTTGAGCCTGGATGGAGGCGGTACAAGATATTGGTATAGCGCCTACATCATGAATGGATGTGTGATATCGGCCAGCTGGTGAAACTAAGTGACTTTTAGCATTGGAGAACCTAGGGGGAGGAGTGTGGGAGCGAGATGGAAGCGCAGGCGAATAAGACTTACTCCAATTAAGGTCCTGATGAAGCAGTTCTTCTGAATCCGAAAGAGAATGATTATCTAAAAGTGAGGCAAAACAGACAAGAGTAAAATTTGACTCTTTAAATTGAAGTAAATAGACCTGGATTATATGAGTAATATAAACTCGTTTCCCATTAAAAATTACATAAGACAAAAATTAATTAATGATCATATGAAAAAAAATCAGGCAACATAAATCCGGGTTTATGAAACAGATATTTTCACTAGTTGGCAGACTAAGCCCAAATTTTGTAGCTGAATTCATTTCACCTGTGACTCGACATTTTATTTTGCAGGAAAGGGTCAATGGAAGGTATTCGTGAATTGGCCTGACTCTGAATCGAAGGAAGATTGCCTTGGAGTGAAAAAGGTTATCTTGCGAAGAAGTACTCAGCTCACAGTCCTTCGACTCCGATGAACTCATGTTGAGCTTTCTTCTGTCATGTGACAGATAGCATGAGAATGAGAAAGTATAGCTTACGTTGTTTCACACGTGAAAGAAGGCTTAGCATTGGTTCATTAGGCTCAAGGGAGGAAGAACTGAGGACTTCTTCGAACAAACTAATAGTCATTACTCCAAGGCTCTTCGGTTTCCGATAACGCCATTTTGCTGATCCCTCCCAACCAACTTTTCCATCGAAATGAAAAGTCGAGCCACACTATATCATTAAGAGAACCTTGGAAATCCAGCTTTTACAAATACAATTCAACTTATTTCTGATTTGATGCCAATAAGAGAGAGAAGCATCAAAGTACATAAGATTTCCTCAATGGACAGTTTCATCTACAAGCATCTTATATTCACTCATGAGTATAGAATAACAGCAAAATTTGATGGAATATGAATCTAAATAATGTAAAAATGAAGCACGCGTAAAACGAGAGAGCATCACCTTGCCTAAATCTTATGAGAATAGTATGGCACGTTTACGTTGAAGCCTAGCATAAAGAGCTCAGCACTAAAGGATCGACTTCGAAGTTTGTAATGTATGATTGAAATTCCCTACAAGGATATGAGTAGGCCTCACCTACATTAAATTTCACCTAGCCTTGCTTCTCAACAAAAATTTTCTCGTCTAGAGTGAACGGCAGTTTCAATCTTGCTTAGGTTTAATCGGCATCCCTAACGGAAATCAAGCCCGAGTAAAGCAATGAATAATCTCGCATATTAATGCAACTGAAACTATTAATCATAGTTTCGAAACCCAGTTTATACTAATAATAGAAGATATATACTATGTATAAATAAAAGATAAATATGAATGTAAATCGAAGATACAGGAGCAAGATGGTGTGGCCTTTGGTTTGGCCGCAGTCTTGTTTAGCAGTATAGAGTTGGTTTGACCTTATTTTCGCAGCTTGGAAAGACTTTGTATAGTATTCAGCATCAGACCATTGACTTAGCACATTCACAGAGATTTTGCAAGAATCGCCAGTAAGAGGACTGGTCAAGAGGATTGGCCTCATTTTATCATTTTGCTAGGTTGAAATCTGTGCTAAAAATGGCGTCTTTCATTGATAATGCCAACAAAACGTCTGAGAATATACCAACTCAACTGCCCGAGTCAGGAAATCATCATGAATGTTATGGCAGAGAG